AACTTCTGTAGGTGTTTGACTATTCTCAATCCAACTTTTAATATTTTTCGGAGTATTTGAAGAAAAATTTAAAGTGCTCTCTTCAAAACTGGTACCTAATGAAGATAACTGCTTTTCCTCATCTGGCACCATTTGCATAACTGTTTCTTTGACATCGCTACATCTGATAAAGTAAGTGAGTACTTGCAACAGCTGGCAAACAAATGCTTTATTTTGACCAACAATAACAGTACGAGCTAGTTTTAGCGGAACACTTACTGAACCATACATATCACTGGAAAAAATAATGACAACCATTCAAATTTTAATTAAGGAATTCTTAATTTTAAAATATTAATCATAAAAACAAAAAATTTTGCATTATAGTTATCAATCCTTTATAAAAGTAAGACTACAAATGCAATAAATAATCATAATTTAAAATATAACCATAATTGGGCCCACAATGGATTATAAGGATGACATTTAGCTAAAACAGCAACCTATAAAAAAAAGCATATTAATATGATATAGCAACAAAAAAAACTCAAAAAAATACCCTATAATAACAAAAAACAATTTATATTAAATAAAAAGCCTATATTAAACAAATTTACAGCTTTTGAAGAATGCTTGTCCATAAAAGCACGCTTTGATGTAAGTCCACTAGACATAACAGTTGCAACCCAAGAAGTATGATGGGAAAGCACTGCCGTCAATAATATAGACAAGAAGCTAAAACAATTTTTAATTAGTAACAACAGTTTATTAATATTACAAGCAAATAGTATTATTAATATAAAATAATACGAATACAACACAAAAAAAGAATAACTTGATTGAGATTTACACAAACTTTATAAAAAAAAACTTACTAATTAGTTTCTTTTTTTTCACAGACATTTGCAATGTTCATAAAAGATTCCATAAAATTGTTAACATTTTCAATATTATGTGTATCATCAGAAGTCATTAGACTCAACCAAGTTGGCTCCTGTACAATAAAACAAAATCAATTTACATCATTCAAAAAAATCAATTTACTTCATTCAAAAAAATAAAAGAATATATTCACACTGTTACCAACCCTCGGAATTAGGAAAAATGAGGTCTGCAATAATTTGTCAACCTCAATCATTTAGAGGTCGGTATCAGGTGGGCAGAAAAAATCTAATACAAAGGTCTTACCATTAAACATAGAAATGATGTCGGCAACTTTTTGCCGACCTCCAACACATTTAGGTTGGCAATTAGGCGGCATTGCCGAATGCTGATTCTAATTCCAAGGACTGCTGTTACATAATAAAACAGTAAGTATTGAGCAGTATAAATGTACTCACCAAAATTCTTGGGGTGCAAAAAAGGTTCAAAATATCTTCCTTAAAACACTCCACACCCTATATAAAACAAAACATTTAAAAAGAAACTACTTTCACTTTAATAAAAATTGAAAAATAAATAAAAAATACTTACTGCAATAGATGCTTTCATAAAATTGTTATGTAGATAAAACGACTTTTCAATCTTTATGCGAAGTGCTTGTAAGTGCCATTCAATAAGGGCAAAATGAGAAAAGAAGAATGTCTGAAAAGCCCTGAAGAAAATTTTTTTTTTAACTTTTTAATACAATTGATATTTTTGTTTGTGAAATGTTAATAAGATATTCTGTTAAATAAATTTAAATGAAAGATTATTAAAAGATAATACCAGAAGCTTAAGAAGAACCCTTATATATATAGAAAAAAAAAATTCAAAATTTCTATAAAAACTTCATTAAATAAAACAACTTCACTAAATAAAACACAATATAAATAATAAATATCTGAAGTGGACAAAAAAGTTTATTTAGACACCATGAATATTATTATGCTACCCTCTACAAAGGTACAAATGACTCCAAAATAGACTTGTTAAAAATTAGTTCAAATTACAAAAAACCAAAAAATATCAAAGTTTTTGATCCCAGATCTACACCTCATTCAGCATTTTTAAGAATACATCAACAGATGAAACATTCCATGTATTCAATAAAACATTGAATAAGACAATCATATGCAAACTGGCAAATAGTTGATAGGAAACCATATCATAAACCAAAGACTATTTATTTGCTAAGATTGAATAATACAACATTCGTCATCATCTCATTAATTTAGTTGATTTAATGACTTGTCACTGCACGACTGTTGTCACTGCACGACTGTTGTCACTGCACGACTGTTGTCACTGCACGACTGTTGTCACTGCACGACTGTTGTCACTGCATGACTGTTGTCACTGCACGACTGTTGTCACTGCACGACTGTTGTCACTGCACGACTGTTTGAGAAGATAAGAGCAAAGATAACTCAATAACATTTTTGTAATAAAATAAACTTATTTAAACTTGATTTGCTTTAATATCATTTCAAGAATAGTAGTCCTCGTCTTACTTATTTTTTTGTTATATTTAAAGAATCTTATTTTTAATCATAATACTTTGGCAATCATCTATAAGATGTTTCAAAATTTACCCACTAGTAATTTTTAAATTTATCAAAACATTAACACAATAAAATTTGTAATACTTATTTTCTTCAGCAGTATTCCATTGTTTAAATATAATACCAATACCAATCTTTGGTTGCTGTTTATAAGTTCCCTGTATATAACAATTTAAAAATGTTACAAAATGAATATAAATAAATAGTCCTTTATAAATAACAATTTTAAAATATTGCAAAATGTATATAAAGAAATAGCTTCACTTTTTTAAAAGGAAGAATTTTTTTATCATGTATCTAATTAAATATATATGTGAGTGAGTGAGTATGGGAGTGTGTGTATCTGTATGTGTGTGTATGTATGTATGTATGCATGTATGTATGTATGTATGTATGTATGTATGTATGTATGTATGTATGTATGTATGTATGTATGTATGTATGTTTGTATGTTTATGGCGTGCTCCAGTGGAAAATGTTAACCTTTTCACTCCCTGAGATCCGCACAGCGGGTCATAACTAACCTTGCGATTTTCCCTGTGATCCGTTGTGTGGGTCATGACTACATTCGCAATTTAAACACCTTTTTATAACGTATTATGTAATGTTATTTACAGATATGGAATATAGAATAATTATTACATCAAAGGCTGAAAACCATTTGTCAAAATTTCTTTTTTTTCAAAAGTTATAGCACTTTTATAAATGGCTTGTTTTAAAAAAACTTATTCAAACATGAAAGAAATTTTAAAAATAGTTATGAATGACAGCAGCGATGATATGGACCTTGGTGAGTTATCAGCCGATGAAAGCGAACCTGAAACAGATTGGGAATATGAAAAGGAAGATATAGAATTTGTTGTAGCTCCTAATTTACCGTTACCTGATGATTTTCAGAACAAAAACTGTCCTTCCTTACCAGACTTTAGTCAAATAACACAGGTTTATAAAATGAATATTGACAAAAAAGAGGAAGAAGAAATTGATGAAAATAGTTGTGATGAAATAAACCCTAAAGAGAACAACGAGACCCTTTTTCCTGATAAAATATTTGGTTCCACCAGAAAAAACAGTGTAGCAGAACGAAAAAAAGTAAAAATTCGCGGTGGAATTTGAAAAAATATTGTTAATAATAAAATATTTCAATTATATTATCAAATATTTCAAGTTACTAACATAGATAAGCAAAAAAAGGTTACAACAATCGAAGTTGTAGAGGAAGGCCATGTTACCACATGGCCTTCCTCTAGGAAGGACAACCCAATGCTAGGGTTGCAAAAGTTAATCAACAAGAAATTGATTTAAAATCAACATGGAAACATGTTCAAATTGATAAGGCTTATGATCCAATTATTTCTTTCTTTGAAGTAGAGTGACTTAAAGTAAGAATAATGCAAGGAAACCTTTCTCCTTTAAATTTTGTTGAACTATATCTGACACCTAATATTATTGAGCTCATAGTTGCTGAAACGAATCGCTATGTTCAAGATTTTCTAGATATGAACCCAGTTAAAGCCAGGAATGAATATGTAGGAATTTGGGAAGCGGTAACTGTTTTAAAAATAAAGTTTAAAAATATATATAAACCTGATATTTATATGTCTACATCTGAGTTTTTTAGCACTCCAATATTTTCTGAAACAATATCACGCACTCGTTTTCAACTGATTTTGAAGTTTTTACACTTCAACGATAACAATGATCGAAGTTATAATGGAAATGACAAAAACCATGATCGGTTACACAAAGTATGACCATTAATTAAACTAATTAAAAACAGACCATTTTCCGACATGAAACTGGAAAATCTAAAATAACATTCCTAGATTTCTTGCATGACACTATTTTATCTTTAGTACTAATCAACCCAGCTATACCAAACTACCAAATACTAGATGTCACAATGTCTCGTCTTATTAGGAGACATTTCCCTTCACTAAAAGGAGCTTCTCCAGATGCAACAGATGAAAGACCAACCAGAGTGGAGTGTGCTATGCAAGAAAAAAACTAAATCATCTAAATGTCAACCACTGAAAATTATGTTTGTTGATTTTACCCGCCTGAACCAGGGCTTCACCTTGATATTTGTTTTAAAGCTTACCACACTAAACTTGATTATTTATTGTAGTTTGTTTTGTTTATATAGATAGAATTAATCTTTTATTTTACAATTAATTTTATGTTTTATGTTACAAATATAATAAAAAAATTTATATTAAAAATAACATGTTTTTAAAAAATCTCATATTTTTAGAATCTCTCCTTTTTCTAGAGTTTTTATGATAAACCTTCAATTTTTTCTTTATAGACTAGTTAAGTGATTGCCAAACTGTTTTTGAATAAGTTTTATTTGTTTATAACATAATATTTTGATTTATTTTTGGATTTTACTGCAAAAAAGCAAAATTTTAACTTATATCGAAGGCTGTTTTTTAAGTCGTGTGACGTCTTACAAGTGTGATAAATAATTTTTTTTCAATTATTATATTTAATCAATATGTTAGTAAAAAAGGGGCCAGGTTTTACAGAGATTTGTTTATTATTTTAGTCACTACAAGGTTTCAAAGTGTTTGAGTCAGAAACAGGAATTTTGACTCTGGGAATATAGCGGTTAATATCCCGGGAGTGAAAGGGTTAAAGTAGTCAATTTTCTTTTTTTTTCTCTTCAATTTTTTGTTGGTCAAATTTTTTTCTTTTTTTATTAAGAAAATTTTAAGAAAATAACTAAAGAATTTTTGATTATAAAAGTTATGATTTTCCAAAAATTTTAACAAAAGTTTAGTTAAAGCATATTTTAGTTTAGAATTAGTGTTACATAAGTTAAAACTTCAAGAATTTATCTAAAAGTTTTGGCGCTTTTTTGAAATGATTTTATTATTTACACAATGAAAAAATATTATTTAAAATTTAATAATATTTAAAAACTTTTTTAATATTATTAAAAAAATAATATTTAAAATTTTTTTACTTACTCTTTGAGAAAAATGCATAAAATAAAAAAGAGTAAATGACACTATTGAACTGGCTATTGACTGTTTAAATAACAACAATTGTATTTTAAAGGACTTTTTTAAGAAATAAAAACAGTTTTTCTGGGCTCCTAGAATTGCATATCTAAATAAGACCATTTTTGATCTGCCTATTTAAATTGAATAAAATTATCTCATATGTCATAAGTAGGAAGAATACATGGCATTTAATATGAAGATATACTAACAATTTCCCACCCCTTTAGCTAATATATAATATGATATAGCCACACATAGTTTTACTGAATCTACTAATGACCTAATACAGGTTTGGTTACTTTTTCAGCTGCCACAAGCAAAAAACTCAATTCTGTAAGCTATCAGCTCTACGTTTTTTGTTGTTGTTGTTGTATGTGTTTTAGAATTATGAGCTTGTTTCGGAGAAAATCCTTCTTAATAATCGCAGGGTAATGTTTGTGATGTAATGTTAGTTAAATGCATGAAATGCATTTAACTTACATTACATTTTTTTTATTTTTTATTTTTTTTATTGAGAATTAAATTAACAACATCTTGTAATTTTCAATCCAATTCACAATACCGTTTTGCAGAAACTTTTCCCTAAAGTTAAAAATTTTTTTTTTTTAGTGCATAACATAAGTTAATTGGCATTTTTGGTCATAAGTTTGATATTTTATTGTCAGAATAAAGTTATTTTAGCTTATTTTATTTCTCAGACCAACAATTTTCTAACAAAATTGCTTAAAGTTTAATTAAGGGTTTCAATAAAAGAATTTTTTGATAAATTTGTTGCAAAAATAGAACACACCATGTTAAGCAAGGCACTTTTCATTTATGAGAAACATGAGGGTGAAAAATATATTAAAAAAAAAAAAAAATTAAGTAACACCCAGCCCTTAATGTAAGAGCAACAAGTTGACAAAATAATTTTTTTAATATTTTTATCTAAGTTTATATTCATCAACGAACTTTATATTTCATGCAATAACCTCTTAGTTTTTAGTTTTTATGACCCTACAAAGTTTACAGCCCCCTCAATATGAGGTGGGTTAAAACTTTATATGGTCATAATTTTTGAAAAATAAGAAATTATTGGATGAAATTTGAAATTTGTTGATGAATATAAACTTAGATAAAAATACCAAAAAAATTATTTCATCAACTTGTTGCTCCCACATTAAGGGCTGGGTGGGCCCAAAAATTGGGTTTTTTTTGTCCCCATTATACTAAAGTAATAGTTTATTTGATAATATATTCTTAAAAAAATTTATGCTAAATATCTCAGATAACGCAACAAATTGTAAATAATACAATTCCCAAAACATTTCAACAGAATACTCTACAACTTTATTTCGCTTAATCAGCGTATTTTTTGAACCAATAGAATTAGTATGTTCGTAAATTTGGCGGGTTTTTAGTGTTCCTGAATATTCTTTTTATTCTTCCGCAAGATGTTTTAAAAACATTCAAGCTAATTATGCTCAATGTATGTACGTAAAATAAAAATTAATATATATTAATTTTTAAGCCTCGCCATAATATATATATTGGATGTTATAATAATGGAAATATAAATAATGAAATAAGATCACCTCAATACCAAAAAATACATTTTTGAAAATCAGAGAAAAAATGTGCTAATAATTTTTTTTTAATATTTACAAAGTAAATTAACACAAGATGTCTTGGGACTTGGTAGTCCCTTTAACAAATAGTTTACTGACTAATCTCAAAAATTCCATTTTATTTATATTGGACATTAAAAAGCTGGAATTTTTAAAACATTTTTTCCTTTTTAAATATAAAGCTTACGCTATACACTAATTTAAATGATTTAGTAAAATTAATTATTTTCAAAAATTATTTCAAGTCATTAAACTCAATAAATACCTCATCAGAACTCTCTGATTTTGATCTCCATAGATTTGGTAAGTCTAGGCTAGTTTTTTGAAACCGATGAAAACGTGTCTGTAAACAACCATTTGGGGAAGACATACTTTTTTCTGAAACTAAAGAGGAGCTTTTGTAGCAGTCACTTAAAGAATAACCATTAACACTTTTAGATTTTGATAAAAATGAAGGTTGCACTGGTGTAGGAATTGGATGGCTAACAGCAGATGATTTAGATAAGGTTCCTTAACATAAAACATGTCAATTAAACAAATATAAATAGAATCGCTGTTTATTAGTTAATAATAAAACCTATTAGCAAAATTTTTACAATTACAATGTTTACAACTCATAATATTGAAATGAAATTGTTTTTGTTATTACAAAACCGTAAACATAATAATGCAAACAGGATATAATAATAAAAAAAAAAAAGTTAAATAAAATAAATAATAAAACAAAAAAAATTCAATTTCATGAAATATGTTAATGGATATATAACTTACTCATTATACTTTCTGAACTTGATGAATCTGCCGAATCAGATTGCCACATATGTAAAGAATCCAAAGACAAATTAGAATCACTAGAAAAAACAAAATTACTATTATCTTTAATAATGCATTAATTAATTTTTTATTATTCAACTTAATTTGTAGGCTTTAAAGCTAGAAAACTAGAATTAAAATTGAAATTTTTTAAGCCACAAAATATAACACTTGATGTTTTGCTTAATATTTTTCTTACTCTGAAAATTTTCAATTTTCTATTATTTTTGTTTATACTTTTAAAACAGTTTTTCTTGTGTTTTCAACACTGTATAAGATATTGACACTTGTTTTTCATAAAACTTTCCATAGAAAAGTTTTATGAAAAATTGTTAGTTTTATGACATATTTCCATTGGAAATATGTCATAAAACTAATAAATAGGACTGATGATATTGTACTTATGGGTCTAAATTAAAGTTCAATGCATTTCTCTTATTTTATTAAACATTTTTAAGACATTTTTATAAATTGAAAATTGAAAAACATTTTCAGAAATTTAAAAGAAATATACCCTATGACTATTGTGTGTTTTTTTTGTCAACATTTGAAAATAACTCAGTTTCAGACACAACTGTTTCAGACTAAATTATTTAATACACATCTTTTTTCTTTTTAGCTTTTTCACTAATGAATCTTTGCTTTTAGGATAACTGCCACATTTATTTTTGCCAATTTTTACTCATTTACGTTTAGAATTTGCTGCCACTATTTAGATGATGCAATTAAAGATAAACATTTTTTAAATTTTTTTTTGTATTTGGAGATTTGGACAGGTTCTTTTCCCAAAATACTAAAACATTTTTAATGTGATTTACAAATAGAACAAGCTGATTCTTTTATGTTAGTTAAGATTTCTATTACTGCTGCAATATTACAAATAGCCATTTTAACACAACAGCAAGGTAATAGATTTTTATCATTATCAAATATAAAAAAGAACAACTGTTTCAAAAATATTGTTCACTTTTGAAACCTACATTAAGTATCAACTCACAATAAAAATCTTTATTTGACATTTTTATTATGATTAATAATATAATGCTTAAACAATTCAAGTCAAAATCTATTTATTGTGGTTAATAGTGATATAACATTTCATGTTAAAATCTTTTTTACTAAATTGAAATCTTTCCATCATTTGGTAAACAATGTAAAGATTAGATAAAGCTTATTTCTCATTGTTTGAAACATGAACTGAACATATTATAAATAATGGTTTTCAAACTTTATTTAAAAAAAAAAACAATAATAACTATGTTAACAATTTAAAACTTTTAGTTTTGGTTTCTCTAAGCTATTTCTGAACAACAACAAAAAAACAGTGCTGATCATTAAATCTACACAGATCCTATTATATGGATACTATTTCTATAGATATTATGCCATGCCTTAATGAGAAGCCCTACTCAGCATGCATTTTAGGTACAAAATGGCAATTTGGGTATGTATGTATATATATATATATATATATATATATATATATATATATATATATATATATATATATATATATATATATATATATATATATATAAATATATATATATATAAATATATATATATATAAATATATATATATATATATATATATATATATATATGTATATATATATATATACATATATATATATATATATATATATATATATATATATATATATATATATATATATATATATATATATATATATATATATATATATATATATATATATATGTATATATATAATAATAAAAATGTTAATTTAATTTTGAAGGAATGTAAAATAGCAAAACATAAAATGTAAGGTTTAGTTTCAAAAGAATGTAAAATAGTTTTGCAATATTTATTGAAAAAAAAACTTTTTATTGTCTGCTAATTATATATGTAATACATATCTATCTTAGATAAAAAATTTTCTTTTAAATAGGCAGAAGTATTTTCTTTGTTTTCTTTTCTTATTAATTCAACATCTTTTAAAGTTCTTTTGACATTCTTTATAAATTATGTTTAAAAATATCTTACTGGTAACTGATAACATCTCTGAATTGTTTATAATCTGTATTTAAAATAGTTCATTAAATTCATCAAAAAAAATTAATAAATTGTGATAAAGAACAAAAGATTAAATTAAGTATAAGTTTGTTTCAAAAAATAAATTATAAAGAAATTTTTTTTAAAATAGCAAATAATTAGATTTTATCAGTAATTTTTGTTAAATTTGTTTAAATGATTTTTAATGCAGTTTAAAATTAAATTTAATTACAGCATGATAACTCAAAACACGCTGATGAGGTAATTTAACTTTATCAAACTCTTAATCAATATCAAAGCTGAGTTTAAGTCACATTTATTGGCGTTTGCAACAAAATCTCACAACAAGGCCTGTTATACAATTTTACATAATATTTATAATAAGTAATTATTAAAAGTAGTGAAAATTTTTTATATGAACTTACCATAAATTTACTTCATGATTTCTTGAACGTAGAGCAAACACTTTTGTCATTAAGAGCTGTGGAGGTGATCTGTAAGATTATTCATAGATTAGGAATTTTTAAAAAATAAAATAAATTACTAAATTATATCATTGGTCATGTAAATACCTGATTATATGAATTTTTACAATTGCTCCTTTATAGATCATTGCGACTGATCCAAAAATCATTTCACCTAGCATTTTAACATCTGAACTTGGCTTTTTAAGCTAAAAAAATAAAATTTATTAATATCATGTGAAAAAGTCATTAAACCACTCTTAAATACAGACAGTAGAAAAGAGTTTTTAAAGAAGCAAAAAACAATCTTGCTTTTAGTGAAACCAAATAAAATGCAATAATTTTTTTAATAGTAATTTTTTTAAATGTTTTTGTAGTACATATTACATTATTTTTACAGTGTATTACAGGTAAGCAAACAACTTATAAACCGATCTTTTTTTGTGTCAAATTTTGAAATCATTAAAGATTGACAAAAGAAAAAGTTGAGAATCACTAGTTTAAATTAAAAAAAAAAAACATATTCATTAAATCAGCCTTGTTGATATAAAATACAAATGCTAATTTAAGTAATGACACTTATTATAGAGTTTTAGGAGCTACATTTTACTTTACACAAATCGTACCAACAGTTCAAACATACTTATTATTATTTACATATGTAAACTATTTTGTGCATTTCAGGTTACCGTGTGACTTTTTATAAGAAACAATTATTTTGAAAGTTAATTCTCAAAAGTTAATTCTAAAAAGTTTGAAGGGAATTTAATTAATAAAGAGAAGTTAATTATAAAATAATGAAAAGGAGTTCATTCTAAAAAGTTTGTTTTCTTTTTCTATTACTGAAATAAAATAAAAAAATTTTTTTAGATAAAAAAAATACCACATTTAAATCACAATAATCAAAAAACATGCTTTACAGAATGTAATTAAATAACTATAAATAATCTATAATTTCTATACTTAATTACATATATCTTATACTGCTTGTTTAGGTGAGCAGTCTGACGTCATACAGAAATAGCAGGCTGTTATGGGTTTCAGTAGATACATCGACTGACAAATAGCTTAACTCACAGGGGAGTGCTACTACATCGATTGAGGGTTTGGCATGGGGCAGCAATCTTTTTTTTATTATTTATTGTTTTTTTCTTATTCTTCTGAAAATGCATATTTAATTAATGTAACAAAAATATGGATATAGAATAAAAAACTATGGTTTATAGAATAAAAAACTTTATTTAGACAAAACTGTTTAAACATAATTACTCTTTTGGGGAGATGTGGTATCCAGGAATAAATTTAAAAATAGGACATTAAGGCAAGATAACAATTTTTGTAGCTTCAGGACTTTAAAAATACTTGAATTAATGTATAAAATTCTTTTTCTTTGCTACGTTTTTTTTTTTTTTGCTTTTTCCATAAGTAGGTTTTAAAGAGTGTTTTGAATTGCTGCAGTTTCCTGAAGTTTAGCTGCCCTGTAAATAAACAAGTTCTATTAGCCGCAACTAACACTGTTAACTACATGTTTTACTTTGCCCTTTAATAATGCAACAAAACTTCAATACATAATAAGTAATAAGTTTCAAAGAAGGTTGTCAACAAATTAACTTTATTTTTCTATACTTTGAATTTTGTCTTTGATTCTGCATTCTGCTTTAATTCTTCTTGTTCTTTTGACTTTTCTTTTTTTGACTCTGAGTGTTCCTTAACAAGATATAGAAAAAAAAGAATCATCACTAAAATACTAACATATAAAATTATTATGGCATAACTAAAATAATAACTTGGTATTTAATAAGATTATTTTGCTATGAGTTCCTTAAAAATTTAAGTTCTAAAATCAAATTCAAGAAATATAAACAAAATATAACTGCAAATTCTTTTTTTCCTATATTTTGATGAACTAAAACTTTAGTAATGACATCATAATCATATTAGATTTTATATAATTACCAAATCATTTTTGTATACCAGTTATAAACTGGTTATAACTTTTTGTATACCAGTTATAACTGGTTATAACAACTGTAATTAGTAATATATTTATAGTTTTAAAGTCTCGTATAAAAGAACTATCATTAAATCTGAATTTAAGTATTTTTATACATCATAACTTTTTATTGAAATCTGAACAAACTTGAACTAAAAATAGTTATCTGAACAAATTTGAATGGAAAATAGTTTGATGTAATTATAAAAGTTGTGTAAATAAACAAGTTGTTAAATGAGTTATTTGAATAAAGAGATGATGCAGACCAGGAATTTTATCTTCTATTTCATCTCATTGGTTTAAAATTAAGTCTCATTTGATGGTTTTCTCTTTATATGCAGTTGTTATTTCTAATTGTAAAATTTCTTATGGGGAAAAACATCCTGCTTTAATTTAGAAAATAAAAAAAATGTCATTAATAAAGCCCAACATGTTTCATGATCTGATCTTATAACATATCCCAAAAAATATTTACAAAGAACTTTGCCTTGTTTTAAATTATTACAATGTATGCAATTTATGTTCAAATTTGCAGTAGACTCTCCGGACACAAATATATATACTAGGTTTTAGTTAATTTTAGTTACGCTAAAACTATTTTATTTAAATTGTTCAAACTTGTAGTTGTGAAATTTAAGTTCTGAACATTACGCTATTTTTTAAAATTGATTCTTAATCGCAATTGTCTTTGAAACATTTTCAACATTCAAACATTGGAAGTCAATAAGTCAAACTAAACAATTTTTTTAGTGTTTTTTTATTTAACTTCTAGAACAGCAAAAGTAATACAAAGACACTTAAATACAAAAGTTTCTAAATGTAATGTAAAAACAAAATACAAATACAATTAAAAAATACAATTAAATACAAAAAAAAAAAAAAAAATGCTTTATTAAATAAGTTTAGTTGTTTATTGAATCAATTTTGATTTTGATTTTAAAGTCTGCAATTGTGTTAATGCTACTAAAGGTTTGCAATCTTCACAATGTTTAACACAATTATAAAAAAAAAAAAAAATGTAATAAACATAGACAAAAATAAAAAGATAATACATTAAATATTTTGCAAATGATAAGTTAAATATTTTGCAAATGTAATCACTATTTTATTTAGATATTCTATTATGAATGTAATATTGTTCATGTTTTTTTATTAATATTCCATTATTTAAAAAAAAAAAAAAAAAAACATACTTCATAAGCTAATCAAAAGTTAATGAAAACTTTCCTTTAAAATTGCCTTGAAACTGTTTTTACATTTTTAAAAATAGTTTCTTTTGTTTTTTGTTTTAACATTACATCTAGAAACTTTTGTTACATTTTAAAAAATGTATTTACATTTTTACTAAACTTTTATATTAACTAAATTAACTTGTATTTTATTTAAACTAAACTATATAATACAGATAAGGAAGTATAATATAATATATACACACTTTTAAACCTTTTTTAATATTTCATTCTGAATATTCATTTTTCTTATAACAGATTTAAAAACTTTTTTATATTATTTTATATATTTATTTTATTTTAATTATATTTTTTTTTTATTATTATGTTTCATTGTTACTATTTAAAAATTAAAGTTTTTGTTTATAGAAAAAATATATATTTTTAACCATTATGTATTAAAGTAGGAATTTTACTATTTCATTCATAACTTAAAAATCCTTGTGAAAACTATCTTAGTAATTAACATTCTAAATAAGCATATTGTTTTTTTACAGATTTCTTATCAATGGAAAATAAAACAATGCTAATGTCAAACAGCTTCTAATCTTTACTTCTATTTAATTTAAACAGCTGTCTAATCCTTTACTTTAAACCAAGGGGATTTTGATTTCTTTATTTTAAAAATCTTAAATGCAATTTAACATAAGTAACTTATATAATATCACTGTAACTTATATAATATCAGTGATATTATATAAGTTACAGTGATATTATATAAGTTACAGTGATTCACTGTAACTTATATAATATCACTGTAACTTATATAATATCACTGTAAAGTTCATATACAGTAAAAAATAAAAATATAAAGTCAACAAAGTTTTTCAGAGAAAAAAAATCATTTAAAAATAATCAAAATTGAAATGAACAAAAAAAAAATTCTTCGTAGTAAAATGTTTATAGATTTCTTATCTACTATTAGTAGATAAAAAAATATACTAAATAAAAAAATATGAAATCACTAAACATACATTTATAGCTGCATTCTGAAGAGCATCAGAATCAAAAAGCAGAGTTCTATCTCCTCTAGGCTCCGCGTCTTTATAAATAAGAATACGAATCCTATCTTTATCCAATATTGGAAGTTTGCTATAGGAAAAAAAAATACTAAAGTTTTAATCTATATATATATATATATATATATATATATATATATATATATATATATATATATATATATATATATATATATATATATATATATATATATACATATATATATATATATATATATATATATATATATATATATATATATATATATATATATATATATATTCTAATACTTTTTTGAAAAATTTGTTTTGATGCTTTGGAAAATAAAAAACATTATTTGGAAACTGATTATCTATTGCTATGAATTATTTATTTTTATTCAAAATTATTTTCTTGCATTTTTACATTTCAAATACCATAAATTTTTAAATAAATTTTTCAAATACAAATGTGTTAAAAAAAAGCCATGAGTAATAATACATCAATAAAATAAAAAATCACATGACAAAATGAAAATGAAACTAATGATTTGATAATATGCTTACATTTTTTTCTTATACAAAAATAAACATATTAGTTTGCATTGTCAACAAAAAACACTGTTAAAAAGATAGTTTTACTGTATTGATTTAAGATTAAATATAAAGTAAATTAAACCAAACACAAGCTTTATTTCTTTGCCATTGTTTTAAATTTTTGAATTTTTTTTTCCATCACCATTTATTGTTAATTTTTTGCTAAGTACAGTTGACATTATTAGTATAATGTCAACAGCTTCTTAATTGAAAAAAATTTAATTGACAGTTATTTCAACATTATTAAAATAAATACCCATAGGCACAAAAAACACAAAGTTTTTTATACATATGTATGTATGTGTGAGTGTATATATATATATACATTTTTATTTTAATTCACCTCCTCAAGGCCGAGAAGGCCACTACAGATGAGGAGGCTACTTATATATATATATATATATATATATATATATATATATATATATATATATATATATATATATATATATATATATATATATATATATATATATATATATATATATATATATATATATACACATATGTATAAATATATATGTATATTTATATTTTTATATATAAATATACATATATATTTATACATACATATACATATATATATATATATATATATATATATATATATATATATATATATATATATATATATATATATATATATATATATATATATATATTAATTTAATCATTTATTGAGTACTTTATTTTGTAGAATACATTTTAAAATTGTTTATATATGTGTACGCGTACGTGCGTGTGTGTGGCAAAATATTATCCCATCACCATTTTAAAAAGTTTTAAACTAAACGGCCTCTTTTTATATCCCTTTAACATAATAATAGCAAGAATTGGTAAGAATCATAAAAATGTCATTTATGAAATTACTGAAAACCATTATATATATATATATATATATATATATATATATAAATATATATATATATATATATATATATATATATATATATATATATATATATATATATATATATATATATATAATATACGTATATATATATATATATATATATATATATATATATATATATATATATATATATATATATATACACACATTGTAGTAATAATAATAATTATTATTATTATTATTATTATTATTGTTATTATCATTATTATTATTATTATTATTATTATTATTATTATTATTATTATTATTATTATTATTATTATTATTATTATTACTATTATTACTATCATTATTATAATAATAGTAATAACATTTATGTATAAATATAATAGAAGTATATAGGAATATTATTAATACCTAGGGATAGCTTGAAACTCTTTCTCTACTTTTACTGATTTCCTGGAATTTGAAATGAAAGTAAATATCATAAAATATATAAATTTCCCAACAATATGTAACATGTATTAAGTAAATTTAAACTTTAAATTCAACTTACAGTTAGGAATTAAAAAAAAATTGCTTTTGGCAGTATCCGTTTGAACGTTTTATTTTTGCAGAAAATTATATAAATGATGAAATATTTACTGGATTGTATGAAATGAAAATTGAAAAATAGGCAAGATGAAGTAAAACTCGTAGTTAAAGTAATAAACTTTAGAGCGTTTCATTTAAAAAAGGTATTATATCGTATGTATTATAACTCAAAACTACGTAAATAAATTTTAGCTTTATTTGACTAACCTTAGATCTTCACATTGCGTGATAACTTTTTCTTTCTTTATATTTAAAATTCTTGAAAACATTGCTTGCACAACCTAGGTAATAGAGAAGTCACCGACACTCCATTTAAAATTAATCGCTACAATCACAGTTACAACTTTTTTACTACGAGTGACTATCTACACCAAGTTAACTGGTATACAAATTTTAAAACTTCTTAAATTTATTTACGAGCTATTCAGCATAACAATTTTAAAAATTTCAATCGAACTTAAATGTATAAAAAAATTACAAAAATTAGACACGCAGAGCAGTTTCTAAGAATTATTCACACAAAAAATATACGCAGATAAAAGTTGTATTTTTTTTTTTTTGTAATTTGATCTTCAATGAAATAGCAATGCGTAGTGTAGAAGATCACATGACAACCATAATAAGTGAATCAGTGCTTGCTTTATCAAAAAGCAATCAAAGCATGACTATCATAAATTTTGTTGAACTTTGTACTTTTTACTTTTGGAAAGTAATTTTTTCATATTTTGAAATAATTTTTCAATTTTTATTTAAACGGAAAGTAATTTTTTCATATTTTGAAATAATTTTTCAATTTTTATTTAAACGCAATTCAAACACATAAAATAAATTTTATGTGTTTGAATTGCGTTTAATTTTTAAGCGTTTAAATTTAAACGACAATAGCGTTATATTGTTATACGTTATATAGTTTTTAAAGTTCGGAAGCGTAATAAAAACAAGTTCACGAAATTAGTAATATATATGATTTATGACTATGAGTTCTACTTTTATATTTGTATCATATCACTTTTAATTTAGTATTCTATATTTGTCTTTGAGTTCTATTTTTTTCAAAAATAAGTTTAGGATTTATAATAAATAGGTACATAATCAATATGCGTACTGATTATGCATATATCTATTATAAACACTAAACTTTTTTTGAAAATAATTGGAACTCATAGACTAATATTAGTTTGATTAAATTATAAAACATAAACATTTAGCACATCGGTTTAAGATTAAATATAAAGTAGTTTCAATATAATTTAAAACAATGACATATAATTTAGGCCGGTGTATTTGGTTTAATTTAATGCATTTACTTTCCATCTAAATTAAACCAAACACTGGCTTTAATTTTATGCCATTGTTTTAATTTATTTAAGTTTTTTTTAAAAAACAATACCAGAAACCAGAAACATAACAATTCCAGAAACATTAGGAAAATGGTGCATGCATATATATTAGGGTGGTGCTTAAAACAACTTTTTTGAGAAAAACCTGCTGGTACCCCCTAAATGTGTTTTATCTAATACAAAAACACTAGATTTAAAATTTTTTTGAACAAAAAATATTTTTAGGGGTAGCTCAAGGCCCTCAAAAATTTGACGGGTCCCTAATATTTTGAAAAAAAAACTTTTTCTAAAGTATGTCAACCTGGTACTCAAAATAAGCAAAATTATATAAAAAATTTTAAAATGAAAATAATTTTTTATAAAAATAATTTTTTCAGGTATAAATGCATAAAAACTATTGTTTTTAAGCTGAAAATAAAAAAAGTCAATATTTTCAGGTTTTTTGAGAATAATTTTTTTTAGGCATGTTTTTTATGTAAAATGATTATTATTTTTGAAGTTTTTATATAATATCGCTTCTTTTGAGTACCAGGTTGACATACTTTAGAAAAAGTTTTTTTTTCAAAATATTAAGGACCCGTCAAATTTTTGAGGGCCTTGAGCTACCCCTAAAAATAATTTTTGTTCAAAAAAATTTTAAACCTAGTGTTTTTGTATTAGATAAAACACATTTAGGGGGTACCAGCAGGTTTTTCTCAAAAAAGTTGTTTTAAGCACCACCCTAATATATATATATATATATATATATATATATATATATATATATATATATATATATATATATATATATATATATATATATATATATATATATATATATATATATATATATATATATATATATATATATATATATATATATATATATATATATATATATATATATATATATATATATATATATATATATAGCAATTATACAAATCGCCAAGGAGTTTCCGTAAAATTTTATGTTTTTTACTATTAGGAACTTTTTTCTGTTTAGAAACATATAAAAGTAAGTAATACGTTGTGGTAACTATAATTTTTAGAAACTCTGTATAGAAGCTTTTCAAATATTGTTTAACGTACAAGTACAAAACCATAGTTTACGCGTGTGTGTGTGTGTGTGTGTGTGCGTGCGTGTGTGTGTGAATGTAAGTGTGGTTATTAAGGTGCTCCAAGAAATCTTTACGATTTTATAACAGAGCACCGCGGAAAAGCATTTAGCTAGGTAAATTACGCCCCTATGTTATACATCGAACCTCGGACCTTAAAGTTTTAGAAGTCAAACTACTTCGCCACGGCTGTTTAATTGAAAATTAAGAAGTCTTTACATTAAAAGACGCCAAAAAAAGGTTGGAAAAGACCACCCAAGCATTATAGTAGAGGTTGGAGTTTTACGTTACGTTTTTAAAAGTTTTATGTTACGTTTTTACTTTAAAACTTTGATTCCTCAACATTCAAAATAAGCTAAAAACTACATTATTCTTCCATAGAAGTATATTAATATAAATTTTTAGCATGTTTGTACACTAATATAAATTTATGAAAGTAAAAAAAATTTCATGAACTTGTTGTTAATTTTAAGAATTTAATGATGACTTATGCATGATCTGTTTTGAAAAGCTTCATAAAAATCTCTAAGTTTGCTTTCGCTTTATGTAATCATTATCTTAAATGGCATAGTGCTTTTATTTATTATTATTAATATTATTATTATTGCTATTATTATTATTGTTATTATTATTATTATAATTGCTATTATTACTGTTTATTTTACCACAAAAGTTGATTAGTGGTAAGAAATATAATTTATTACCATTATTATTTTTTTCATCTTAAGTAATTAATGTTCTGGAAGTTTATATAATAATTTGCTACTTAAACATGATATATCATATTGGTTCATTGGAACTCTTAAATAGATTTTATTAGATGTTCTAAAAAATTACTAATTCATTTTTCTTGCTTTTTATATTATTTTAATGAAATTTAGGCTACACGGTGTGGGTTTTGAAAATAAACTCAGTTAATGTCCAATGTTACAATAGTATCTGATCTTCATATTAAGGTCAGAATTTGTATTTTAGGCTTTGTTTCTTTTTTCTTTTCTTTTGTTTTTACATTTATAAAAAGATTACTATGAAAATTGTAAAAATCTTATCAAAATTAGACGATTCTATAAACATACATGCATACATACATACATACATACATACATACATACATACATACATACATACATACATACATACATACATACATACATACATACATACATACATACATACATACATACATACATACATACATACATACATACATACATACATACATACATACATACATACATACATACATACATACATACATACATACATACATACATACATACATACATACATACATACATACATACATACATACATACATACATACATACATACATACATACATACATACATACATACATACATACATACATACATACATACATACATACATACATACATACATACATACATACATACATACATACATACATACATACATACATACATACATACATACATACATACATACATACATACATACATACATACATACATACATACATACAGGGCCATCGAGAGCGCCATTGGTGCCCTGGTCAAAAATGGAAAACGGTATTCTTATTTCAAACCAAGAAATTGCAAAATTTAAAGTTTTGTGAACGCAGGAATTATCTATTTTTAATACAGCACATTGTAATTCTGCGTTACTATTAATTCTCCGGATTGAGAAAAGGTTTATTATTCAAAACTGACGTATGAACTAAAATATTAGTTTTAAAAAACATTAAATAAAAAGTCAATCAAAAAAATCTTCTGCATACGTAAATAAAGCGCTAAAAATGAGTTTTTCGAGCTTATCTGGCCGCCCAAATATCAATGACATCGCCGTAGCTCGTCTTCTTAGCCAAATCTTTTTCAATCGAAATAATCAAAACTTCAGTTACGCTATCCTGGCCCATGGTTGAACGGAGAGAGTTTTTTACAATCTTTAGTTTACTAAAGGATCGTTCACCCTCAGTAACTGACACAAGTACAGTGTTGAAAATCCGGAGCAATACGCAAATGTACGGAAAAATGCGTTCAAGCTTCTTCTCAAAGATTTGATTGAGTAGCTGCAGTGGGTTTCCTTTCTTAAAAATTGTTTTTCGGGCATTTTTAAAACGTCGAACTTCTTCAATGAGATCCTTTTTGCTTACATCTCTTGGATAAAATCCAAAAGGTGTAAACATTAAAAGTTTGCAACCTTTCTTTTGAATGGAAAGATCATCATTATTCAACCATATGAATGAAAACATACTGTCAACTATTCTGCTTGCCTCAAACCTTGAATCAATTTTCTGAATTATCTATCTAAACTATCTAAACCATCATTAAAAACGTTCGCTTTGAATTCTTTCGTTTGGCTGTCGTATAAATAGGCTGTGTTTGATGCTTCATCGTGAAAGCGCTTTAGCTTGCGCTTTCTTTTAACAGAAAGTTCAGTTTTAAATCCTAGCGGTCCAGCTATAGTTACAGCCTCTTGAAAAATTTGCAACCAAGAGCTCCCAATTTGTTTATGATCTTCCAGCAGCTGCCTAATCAAACGTAGCTCATCATTGGTGGTAATGGCCTCAGATTGTAAAAGACGACTAACATCATTAACAGCAGTAAGGGTCATTAGTCATTAACAGCAATAAAGACGTTACTGCTGTTAATGACTAACGTCATTAACAGCAGTAAGTGCGGCCGTGGTGTAGTTGTTACAGCGCTTGATTTATAAGCAGGAGATCCGGGTTCGAAATGAGCTCTGGGCATATTTTTGCGTCACGATAAGGAAGGAGGCGTGAACTTTCTGGTTAAATGTACTTCCGCGGTGCTCTGTGACAAGACCGTTAGGTCTTCTTGGGGAACCTAAATAACAAAAAAAAAAAAAAGGTTTTTGTACCAAATTGTAATTAGTAGTATAAATTCAAAAGATGATTTGGCTAAGCTGGTCACTAGTCAGATCTAGGTTTTCCATGGCATTTTTAAGAGCTGCCAGTATTTCTCTTGGTCTTTTGGCAAGTGGTTTGATTGCGTCGGTACAAGAACTTCATCTCGTCATAGAAGATCTATGCAGTGAAATTCCTGTTGCTTCAATGAGGATCTTCCATCGGGCAGAGCTTGCACTAATAAATACGTATAAAGATTCGAAATTTTCGAAAAATAGTTTGATCTCAATGGCTGATTCAACTGCGTGCACGCAAGCCAAATTTAGACTGTGAATGCTACAGGAAATGTACAGAGCTTTTGAATAATTTTGCCTTATTAAAGCTTAAGCTCCCTTGTAAACACCTGATATATTGGATCCATTATCGTATCCCTGACGGCAACAGTTTTGAATATCCAAACCTAGCCTTGCAGTTACATTAGTGATAAGCTTGGTTAGATCGAGTCCTTCCTTCTTCCCGAAAACTTCAACACAAAAAAATCGTTCTTTGATTTGCCAATGATTAGTTTATCTTCATTTTAGTTTATTTCAGTGTGAGATGTATAGTGGGTACCATAGATTATGATAGTGAAGTAGATACCAACCTACATTTCTTTGACAGCTGCATTTCGGATATACCACCACATTCTCTGATAAACTCATTTTGAGACAATGGTGAGAGGTAATGGGCACTCATTCTGGAGCCCTCTTGTTGATTGCGTCTCACATCTTCCAACTGGGATGCAATGACAGGGTTGTGCCGACCAATGGGATGCAATGACAGGGTTGTGACTTTGTTGCTTTGAGAACAATGCCAGAGTGTTCTACTCTGATCATCTATTAATTAATTTATAATTTTCATTGTTTAAATAATTTAGCTTATGATATCAGCTATGAAAAGAATAATACAATATCCTTCTCAAATAGTAGCTCAGAATACTCGGTGGCTTAAAGAAATTATCAAGAGCAGCATTTTATAAAAAAAAAATTTAATGCAAAGAATGATGAAAGCTGTTGCCTCAAGACTGGATGATTTTATTTAATTTTTATTAAATGTTTTTTTTTTGTGTTTAAGTGATGTTTAAGTATTGATTTTATTTAATTTTAGAGTCCATTTTAGGGACACTTAAAATTATAATTGTTACATATTAAATATTTTGAGCAATGTTTAGAATAAGATAATATATATTTGAATTTTCTTTGGTGTTCTATATATTTTTATCTGGCTGTATATATTGAAAAAATAATATTTTAATAATATTAATTAATATTTAAAAAAAAATTTTAATCATAATTGCAGTGTATTTCAAGATACGATGCATTATGAAATCTTAAACAAGTTCAATGACTTGATAACAATGATTCATGTCAGGTAAAATAGTAATATACAATACCAAAAGAATAAATTTAAAATTATTTACAATAAACTAAGTTAAATAAATATATACATAGGCAAATGTGTTATTATTTATTTATGTTGTGGTACAACTTTGAGTCTGTGCTTTTTTTCCAGAATTTAGGAAGATCATTATATGTTAAACTTTGTTGCTATATAATTGACAGCACTGTCAATTATATAGTACCACTTGGTACTGATAGATTTTCAGAACAAAGTTCAATGTTATGATGACAATGACTCATGTCAGGAAAAATAGTGATATACAATACCAAAATAAAAAATTTAAATTTATTTACAATCATTTAAGTTAAAAATCTAGGTTTTCTATGTTTATAATTGAAATATGAATTGCAAAGCAATGAAGCTTGTGTGATGGCAATATTTAACTCTTACCAAAAAAAAAAATTAAAAAACTTAATATAAGACAAATTTGTTAATAAGATAAAAACCATTTTTATTTTGTTAATATTTAGGCAATAATTTACATTTTTGTTGGTGGCTAATTTTTTTGCTTATTATTTTCAGCTCACAACATTGTTTTCAGACGATAAATAAATCTAAATTTTATTTGGAAAAGAAGTAGAATGCAACATTCTAAAAGTGACTTTTAGATCAAGTCTGTATATCTGTCAAAAACCCAATTTTAAAGTTAAAGCGATGCTATAGCCGAGCTCATATCTTAATCTCTCTGAATATATATTTGTCAAAGATCGATCCACAAATTTGTGACATTTTCTGTATTTCTTTTTTGTTAAGGCTTTACCTAAATATTTCCTACCTATTATTTTTTTCAAATAAAACTCTTAATAATTATCTTTACTTTTTTTCGAAGCGTTATATTGATATATTAAACGTCTCATATCATGATATATTAAACGTCTCATATCATGATATCATATAAACGTCATATTGATATATTAAACGTCTCATATCATGGTATCATATATATATCATAGTTTGATATCAATATGATATCAAATTCCTGACTGGGATACACGTGTTTCTGCTTTACGCCTTTATCATGACAAACACGTGTCTATACAGGTTTTAATTCCAAAAAAGAAACTAGATGTGCCGGTTGGGATTCTCGACCGGCACACCTAGTTTCTTTTTTGGTTTATTTATAATTGTACTTTCTTGTAATATTATGAGGTAGACGTCAATTTGACAAACATCTGAATGACGTAATAAACTACAATACAAAATATATATATATATGTTACAACATTTTCTAGTAGTAAAACACTTTTTTTTTTTTTTAGGTGGCCCAAGAAGACCTAACGGTCTTGTTACAGAGCAACGCGGAAGTGCATTTAACCAAGAAGTTCACGCCTCCTTCCTTACCGTGACGCGAAAATATGTCCAAAGTTCATTTCGAGCCTGCTTATATAGCAAGCGCTCTAACCACTCCGCCACGGCCACACAAAACCCTCATCTGTTGTTTTGTAGTCACAGATAAAAATTCCGACATCTCTTTGATTTTTTGAGACCTCATTCCATAATTTTATTATTTTATTTAAATTCTTTTTTAGCTACAACACTTTAAAAGAGAGAATATCGGTGGCATAGATCATGTTAACAGAAAATTATTTTAGTGTATTTGCTCTCGTAATTCAAACACAGCAAAGAAGTATACAATGATACTATTTAGACTAAAATAAATTTCTAATGATATGTAAAAACATCGTGTGCAACACGTTGGTTTGTTTTAATAGTTCGCGTGAAAATCCCATTTTTTGGCGCTAGTAGTTTTTCGATATCGCGATTCAAGTGCATACTTTTTCCTTATAAGTACTATTCAAAAAGATTGTACTGTAAAAGACACTACGTTCATTTCAAAAACCCCTGCGTAATAAAAGATTTTTTTGAAAATTATAACTTCAAAAAACAACTTTGAATGGTATTGCAAAAATTTATTCGCGAAATCGATGTTTCAATATTTTAGCCAAAATCTTAACAAACCTTAGTTTCTGTTTGAGGAATATTTTTATTAAAATAACAATCTTCAAAATAAGATAAATACATTAAACTTTTTCAGCAAGATCGATCTATTCTTTGATGTAAATAATGAGAAAAGATGTTATCTTCTAGACTGCTTACAACTGGCCAAAAGTCGGGAATATAAAAAAGGATTAATTAACGGGGTTTTGGCATGGTTCTTGCAATTTTTTCATAATCTTTATGTGTATGTTAATGATAACTTTTTTCTAAAAGCCCGTAAAATATTTTGCGCGCGTAAGTTAGATTTCTGCGTATGTACAAACAATAACCAAGACTAAAATTTTTACTGCTTAATTTTTTATAGGAATTTATTTTTAGGACGCTTAAAACATATTTTCTGAAAGGTTTTCTCGGTTGCCTGGGTTATAATCTAAGAGTTTTACTGATTGTAAAAGGTTAAGTTTAAAAAAGGAGTTATAATAGCGTAGCTGGAGGGAGAACAAAGTTAAAATACGCCATTTCTCAAAGAACAGTCTAAGTAGTAAATAATTTTCAATTTAACACCGCGAAATTATCATAATTAAAAGTTAACCAATCACATTCCATTTTTAACAAAAGCAATCCATTAATATTGTTTTAAAACGTCATAAGCAATTAAAGCATTGCAAACAAAAAAAGGGAAGTTCAAAATATTCGTAAACAATATTTAAAGTCAGTTTGTTGTTATATTTTTGGCGGAGGTGTACTTGATTCACGGGGTTAAGGGAGGGTGGCATATCTTAGCTGATTTTAATTAAAAAACGGCTAATGTAATTCATCGTTTTATTCACACGTGAATCAAATATACCTCCGCCACGTAACTAAACAGGGAAGCAAAAAATAAGGTTCAAATAGGTAGTAGAGATTGTCTAAAACTTTGATATTTATACCTTTAATTGAGGTACTCAAGAAACACTTACTTCACCTTAATCGTGATTTTTGTTTTAACTAACATCTTGATTGATCGAATAGTTGTTAAAAACATATCCAACAAACTTTTATTTTATTAACGCATTTCGATTACAACTCTCAAAGCTTACTAATTGCATTTTAAAAAAATTAATTTTTTTGCAAAAGCGCCATTTTAACTTGCTATTGGAATTATACTACAAAAACTGTAACGCAATTTAAATCCATTTTTTGTTTCCCGCCAGCTAAGCTATTTTACCTCCTTGCTTTAAAAAAACATGTGATTTAAAAAAAAAATCATAACAAAGAAAATACGAATAATTAACAAAATATTGAAAACAAGTACTTGTTTTTATCATAAATTACTAATCGTATTATCTACATGGAGTAGTTATAACATAAATATATAACTTTAATATCTTTTTTTATTTATGCCAAGCTTTAAGTTGATTTAAACAAGGTTTTTTTTATTAGTCTTTACAAATAAATATATATTTTTAGTTAATTTTATTGCTCATTGCGTAATTTAATTTTTGTGCCACAAACTTTAACAAAAAAAAATATCGAAGCCTTATTTTCTAGATTTTCTAAATGGATTTAAGTGCGAAAGAAAATGAGAAATGGTCAAAAAAAAGAAAACACACTTTTATTGTATTTTCAATCCAAATGGTTATTATTGGTATTGAGTATACACTTACTCTTTTAACGTTATGGTTGTACATTAAAGAAATGATACACACAAAATCGCCGAAGTTGCTGTATAGTATTGCTTCTGTTTCATTTATGTTAGCATCAACTATTGCGATGCCATTCATAGGAAGAATAGTCGACGAGTATCGAAATGTAAAAAGTTGCTTTTTATTATGCAACTTTCTGATGCTTACGGGAAATGTACTTTACAGTGTTCCTTTATCTCCATTCTTATTAATTGGAGGAAGAATTATAGCTGGCTTTGGCGGTTCGTTGAAATCTGTAATATTTAGCGAAACAATAAGGTGTTACCCTCCATCTGAAACATCTTCAAAACTATCAATTTTGTCAGTAATGCAAAATTTGGGATTCATGCTAGGTCCAGGAATAAATTTTTTTTTTTAAAAAATGTAAATTTTTTTATAGGAAATTGGCATTTAAGGGATTTTAATTTTCCTGGCCTTTTTATGGGAATTGCATGTTTTGCTATGGAGATTTTAACATTAACAATGGTACACAACGTATCAAAAGAGTTTGATTACAAAGCTTTATTAGAAAATTATGACATAGCTATGGAAAATGCTACTATTAATACGAACATTGAAAGCGTTGAAAACATACCGTTAATGCAGCATAACACTGATAGCAACAACACAAGCCAAAGCAATAAACATGTACCATTGACCTCAAAGAAACACACAATAATAGAAATTTTAAAAGTGTTATTTTTTCATTTCGATTCTGCGCTTATTTTATTCGCAAACTTTTTCGTAGCTTTTTATCTTACTACAGCAGACATATGGATGCCGTTATTAGTTATTGAAAAAATGCATCTGTCAATGCTAGAAATGAACATTAGTTTTTTTGGAGCCTGCGGAATATGCGCTCTTCTGTTGTTTTTGTTTATTTGGAAACCTGTGTCTGACAAAAACATGTTTTTTTTATTGTTTCTCAGTTTAACTGGTTTCTGTATCATAAGCGCAGGATTTATGATTCTTTCATATTTTCCGTTCAACAAAGCGTTAAACCTCGACTTATGCATCGTTTACATGATATGCTTTGGAGGTGCTCCAATAATTAACGATGTTTTTTTTTGTCAAAGCGTTATCCAAATTGGTAAAGTCGCACGTTTTAACTTTTGTTGATAGTATTCGATACTCTATGTTTTCAGCAGGGGCCTTTCTAGGCTTTATTTTTGCTCCATTCATGTTTGACTACGTCACAACATTTGGAACACTTTTTATATTTGTTATGATTATATTTGGGATCACGTTTTTTGTCAGAAAAGAAAGTTTAAATAATCCAAAGGTTCTGTTGTAAATCCTTATTTAAAACACTTAAAGCATGAGCAACATTTGCTATTCACAAATCGCAACGAATATACTTAAAAGAATATTGTATTCAAAACTCTAAGTTTTTACAAACCAGTAATTTTAAAAAATTTTCAAAGTTGTGCAAGTAAATAAATATTGTTATTGCTTAATATTATATTAATTGTTGCATCATTGCGTTTTATGCACGCTCTAAGTTTAGCATATCAGTTAGCGGATCAATTGTTTTAATTTGTTTTAATACATTAAGAATAAGTTCTCAAATTAACACAATAAAACAAGCGCCATTTAAAAATTCCATAACATTGGGTATTTTAATTTTATTTTGTAACACAATTGTTTTAATATTTTGGCCGTTAAAATAATCATACAAATATATATAACAAGATCAATGACACGAGCAAGAAGAAAACAGCAACTAATCTTTTCATCGGCCTTTATTTGGAATGTTATTTACAAATTCTTAAGATATAAAATATCAGCAAAACCGACATTTGAAAAAAAATTAAAAACTAATTATATTGATTAAAGTTAATCAGAAGCCTAATATGTTTTAGAGCTTTATTGACAATAATCAGGGGCAGGTCCAGAATATTTTGGTCTTCGAGATATCTAAATTCCAGACATGGAGCAAACTCCAAACATTTATATGTTTATACTTATGTCAAATAAGGAGGTTTTGCAAAAAATTGCAAATAAAAATTTAACGCTAAAATATTTCATATAAACGCTAATGAATATAAGTCTAACTGAAAATAGTACAAAAAATATTTCATCAACATGTTATTCTCACTTTTGGGGCAGGGGGGCGTATTTTTTGGGTTTTTTGTTCCCAGGCTCCAATAACCGCAATTTTTTGCAAAGCATCTTTATTTAAAATAAGTATAAACATATAAATAATTAGAGTTAGTTTCATGTCTGGAAGTTAGGTATCTCGAAGACCAAAAAATGCTGGATTAAAACTCTATTGACAAAAGGTTACATCATATTTACAAAATTTTTGATTTTCATTTCGGTGGATCATTTTTATGATGCCACTTTGTGTGAATTATAACTTGGGGAAAAAAATTTAAATAAAATATTTTTTAACTTTGCGGGATCGCACTTATTGGGAAGTTCAAGTTGTTAATTTAGGCATAAGCGCAAGTTGGGGGGGGGGGAGGGATATGGTTAAACTTTAAAGCTATTGATTCAGCTACAAACCTATGCAGGCTTTTCTACCTTTTATAAGAGTGTTTAACTTTGACATTAAAAACTGTACAGGGTTTTAAAAGCACTGAACCTCCTCCACTTGAACTCAATCTTGCCCGCTAGGCGATATTATATTCAGGTGTGCAAGAATTAATTTCCTTACTTAATTTGTAGGCTCCAAGTGCTCCACTTAGTTCGTTTAGAGTATAAAAATACAAAGCACCATGGATTTTCCTTACCCAGTTGGAAGCTACTTCATTCAAGAACTCCAAAATATGAAATATTATGAAATATAAAAATAGAACTTTGAACAAACAATAAAATATAGTATTTAAAAAACGTTGATCAATATTATCTAATAAATCAAAGTTTATAAAAATCTCATTTAAAAATGAATATATAGTAATATATTTAAAGATGTTAAAATTATATGATGTATGTATTATATTAGGATAAAACATATATCAGCTATAGAAATAAGTAGTGACTGACATGAAAAGAGTTTTTAAAGGTTGTGTGCATGTTAGTCATAACCATTCTCACAAATAATACTAACAAATAAATTTAATAGAACTTCTTCCAGGTTCTGACATGCACTTTGGTACCATTTACAGCGTTCCTCGTATTCAATCCAGTTTCTTTAACTTTTATCACATTATCCACTAAAGTTTTATCTTCATTGCAGTTTTTTTGTCAATTTTCCCTTTTTCTTTCAATAACATTGAAGTTTTAAGAGTTTTGATTTTTTATTATTTTTAAGATGGTTTATTTATATTTCTGGTTTAATAATGCTTGATGAAGCTTTTTCAACATGTGAAACATCGACATTATTTAATAATGGATTAGATGCAAAATTTTTTAACCAATGGTTTAAATTGCAGAGAGATACTGAATTGAACTTGTTTTTGTTGCTATTTTAATTTTTAAGGCACGACCCAGTTCCTTTTTCTTTTTTCTTTTTTTTTTCTTTTTTTTTATTCTTTATTACAATCATTACTACAATTTCTATTATAACTTGAGAATAAAACGTAAGACATAAAAAAAGAAATAAATAATATTTACAATAAAGATTTCGTTAACAATAGAAATATGACAATAAATATAACAATAAAAATTAGGAATAAAGAATGCGGAAACTCGAAGAAGTCCTTGAGGTCTTGTCGTAGAGAACCGTTGGAATCAAAACGCTTTAAATGAATTCAATTTTATTGATTTTTTGTAAATGTTTATTAGCTTTTGAATTGGATCTATTCCGATAAATAATTATATAAACCGTTGCATAGAATAGTTAAAAATAATATACTTCAGTATAATTATCGATGTGTTTGATGACGTCATAGTGTGTTGGTGATGTTAATATAAATCGAACAGATTAAAAATAATAATAATAATTGAATTGAACATTTCTTGCATTAAAATTGTAGAAAATAAAATCAGAGTGGGGGGGGGGGGGACATTCTTGTTGATAATTAGCTCTTGTTCTAATATAGTTTTTTTTTTTAAGTATATATTGTGTTTGCATCTCTACCATACAAGCGATCATAGGTGGTATCACCGAATCCCAATCCAGCCCAACGATTGCCAAGCAGTTATAGTTGGGTGTTTCTACGCCAGAGGTTATGCAGCACTATTTTTTTTTTTTTTTTTATATTTTTACAAAACCGTGTTATAATATACCGTAATAATATTTTTTTGTTTTTTGTTTTTTCAAATACTAAATAAAAGATAAAATAAACCTGAAAATTTATACATACTAGCAATATATAATATAAAGCAATATACTATACGAACTCAAATAATAAATATTTATACATCTATTTATAGCTATCAGTTTCCGTACAATCTCAATGTAACTATATACTTAGGTAAACTTAGTTTTAATAATAGGTAGACAAACCCATAACACTAGTAATATAGAAAAACGTTCTCCATAGAAAAAATTAGATTTTTAAGCTTAGTTTTGAAAATAGAAAAAGAGTAAGGTAGATCAAAATTTTTCAAAACAACTTTATTCCAGAGATTAGGCGCACGATAATCAATACAAAGCTGATTAAACTTGGTTCGGCATAAAATTGGATTTAGCAAATTATTATTTCTCAGTGCATACTTATTGTCTGGTTTCAAAGTAAAAATATTTTTAAAAACGTCAGGAGATAAGTTATTTTTCCACATATATACAAAACATAGAGTATTATATAAATTCACTTCGTAAATATTAAGTATTCTCATTTCGTTAAATAAAGGTTTTGAATGAGTAAAACGATCGGAAAAATTAATAATACGAATTGCGTGTTTCTGACGTGAAAAAAGACGTTTCAACTTTTTCTTTCCAGCACTTCCCCAAGCAATATTTGCATAATTTATATAATTATGGATAAAGGAATGATAGAGTTGGATCAAACTTTTTTTATTTAGATAGTCTCTAGATTTATATAAAATTCCAATATTTTTAGAAATCTTGGTACATACGTGATCAATATGCTGTTTCCATGTAATGTGCTCATCAAGATAGACTCCTAAAAACTTTATGACAGAGTCCCTCTTAATCTCAATTTGGTTAATAAATATTTTAGGCAGATTTATGGGTAGGTAACGTTTTTTTTGAAGCGGGTGGAAAATAATCCATTTTGTTTTATTAGGATTAAGAGTTAATTTGTTACACTTGAACCAGCTAGATATTTTTTTAAGTTTTTCATTTATATTACAAAACAGTTTGGAGATGTCAGTATCAGAAAGAAATAGGTTAGTATCATCAGCGAACATAATGCTAAGTAGATTTGAAGCTTTATTTAAGTCATTAATGTAAATCAAGAATAAGAGGGGTCCCAATATAGAGCCTTGAGGAACACCGCAAGATGTATCTAATAAATTTTTTTGGCAATCATCCTTACAAGAAACAAATTATTTACGATTTGATAGGTAGCTTTCAAACCATCTTAAAGTTTTTTTGTTTATACCATAATATTTAAGCTAATGCAGTAATATAGTGTGATCTACTGTATCAAAAGCCTTAGATAGGTCAATAAAGATACCTAGTGTGTATTGGAAATTTTCAAATGATTTTGAAATTTCGCGTACAAAATAAATGATTGCATGTTTCGTGGAGTTGTGCTTTTAAAGCCAAATTGATTGCTATATAGTAGGTTATTGCATTAAAAATAATCATAGACTCTATTATACATAATTCTTTCTAATATTTTTGAAAATATAGATAAGATAGAAATAAGTCGGTAGTTGCTAATAATAGCCCTATCACCTTCTTTAAAAATTGGGGTAATTTTTGCAATTTTTAGTTGTTCAGGAAAAACTCCTTGATTAATTGACGCGCTAAAAACTTTAAAGAGAATATCTTTTAATTGTTCAAAACAGTTTAGAATTATATTACCATTAATGTCATCTGCTCCAGTAGCTTTATTTTTTTTCAGAGTTTTAAATGCTATTTCAAATTCTTCAAATGATAATTTAGAAGACAATCCCCAGATGTAATGCAATCAATCATCGGTACTAGAAAATCACTAAATATAGCCTGCGTCTTTGGAATCTTATTGGCCAGTTCAGGACCAATTTTAACAAAAAAATTATTAAACTTGCAAGCTATTTCTTTTTTTTCATAGATGATTCTGTTATCAACCTTGATGACCTGGGGAAGGAAACCTGAGCAGTCTTTTTGTTTTCCGCTTGTTTCTTTTATTATTTCCCATGTACATTTGGAGTTGTTTTTATACTTATCGATTAAGCTAGAGTAGTAATTTTTTTTCAAATTTTTTCGAGTTTTTTCAAACTGATATTTAAAATCTTTGTATATTTTTTCATTTTCTGGGGACTTTGTTTTTAAATACTTTATATACAGTTTCTGCTTGATCTTCGATGATTTTTTAAAATCTTTGGTAATCCAGGGATTGAATGTTTTTTTTGGATTTATTGTCTTTTCTATGAATGGAAAATTTGCATCGTAGATAGG